CTCGCCAGACCCGGCAGCTCTGCCGAGGGATAGGCGAAGAAGTTCATTCGTACGGATAGACTGGCTCCCGACTTCATCGGGACGAAGGTATTCAATGAGACAGAATAGGATCTGGCGGCTTTTCAGCCTCGTCCCCCTTTTCACCTGAGCCTCTTCAGTCAGCCTGCTGATCTTGGCAACAATAGGTTTCGATGTGATGCACTTTCTCAGTGCAGCATTGAACTTATTGTCAAGGATCGGGTAGAGGCACTCCCCATCAAGTTCCTCTATTGTGCTGGCGTTTTCGACACTCATGACCCAAGACATGGCATATGGCGAGTCATAGCTGAATGCGTTGCTCACGATTTCTCTCGTGGAAATGATCCAGTCTCGCAACTCATGCGGTGCGGGCTCTTTTTCGAGCTCTATGTTGGCGCACTTGTTCGCCTCAGATGGCAACGAAGTTAAGGGCGGTCGAGTAGCCTGCCCAAAAACATGGGGAGGTAAAACGCCGTCTCTGCCAATGGATATGGCACACAGAGAGCAACTCCCGGACGATGGCGGGCAGCACGCGGCACATAAAGAAGTGCGGCACAACGAACAAGTTTGGAAGCATGGAGGTGTCCCGGGGATGCTGGTCTTGACATTTATGTTGCACCGAGGGCAGACCCTTTCCTCAGCGGAGGATCGGCGAATATCGGGAGCTCCAATACCGCCGACGCCACCGACGTCATGCACACCCTTACCGAGTCCTGGTGGAAGAGAAAAACCAGTTGGCCCGCCAGAGTTATCCTGTGCCCCGTGGTGAGGCTGTGGGTTCTGCTGATTTGTCACAGCAGCGTCAGGTCCGTATCTCCCGCGAATGACTCCCTGAGACGTTCCATGCTCAACCTGACCGGTGAAAATCCCCCCTGTAGGGGAACATCCGGGGTACGTGTTGATGGTCCCCCTCGGAACTGCTCGTCCGACTACGGGCGAAGACATTGCCCTTGGTGGCATTGGCCCGGCAGCTCCGACGTTGGAACAGAAACCAGAATTCCCTTGGTGCGGTTCAGGACTCCGATGTGACGGATCTCCACGTGATGGCCCGGATCCAGGATCAGGAGCAGTGCCATCCTGCTGATTATGATCAGGAATGCAATCAGGTCCTCCAGGCCCCGCGCTGGGGCCGCGATGCTTAGTTTTCCCGTCGGGATCAGCTCTCAGACAACCGAGGCAAATAGGTCGAACACTCGACCCAAAACGACGTACATCGTCAGGCGAAGCGATGTGTTGATCGCAGTACTCGTCCTTGCATATGAGACACCTCACAAGTCCGTGTCTCCCCCCTCTTCCTCTGCATGCGCGGCATCTAGGAAACTGATCGCTGCACTTGAAACATGAGTTACAGTCATGGTCAAAGCAGTCTTCGCAGACTGACTTGCCGCAGCTTCGGCATGGATAGCGAGGTTCCCGATGCTGTGGATGCCCTGGCTCCTCATGAGCACACCTGGCCCGGTTATCAGGGGCAGCGCCGGCAGCCCGAGCAATGGCCCTCGCTCTAGAGGGATCCCTGCCGAAGATGGGGGCTGATGGTGATGGTGGGGGTGGCCCCGAAGGAGGTGGAGGTGGAGGTGGAGGAGGCCTCGCCGAGCTGACGGTGCGAGCATCACGAGGAGGAGAACCTCTAGGAGCCCTTCCCTGGGTTAAGGGATCTGTGTCTCCAGATTTCTCCCATGATCCCGTTCCGGCGGTCGAACCAGCGCCAGCACTTGAGGATCCGCAGGCAGCAAGAGGTTGCTCCCTCAATTCAGCGACCTGCATGTTGATCTCATTGACCCTCAGCACAAGCTTCATAAACTGCTCTTGCATGTCCCTCGGGTTGGGGCCTAAGCTTTTGTCATGAAGGTCCTTGACACATCTAGCAATGCGGGACAATTGAAGCTTGAATTCTTCCTGTTTCTGTGAGTTCTCATTGAGGGCTCCGGATACCTTATCACTGAACTGCTTCAGGTCGGTCGCAGGAACGAGATGCTGGATATACGTCTCGACGTTCCCACGGATGGTTCTTTCTCTTGAGATGGTTCCCTCAATGTCGATGACACTGCGAGAGTTCGCCTCAACTTCGTCTTTGATTTTCCGAACCTCAGCCTCAAGGGCCCCGATCTCAGAAAACCTAAGAAGCTGGACCTTGGCGTTCTCAAGTGATTCGGCCTGCTCGCGAAGTTCAGCAGCGGATATGACGATCGAGTTAGATCTCTCATCATACATCTTGAAACGCTCATTCATCTCCTTCTCGCTTCGGGCAACCCACTCGTGGAAATCACGGAACTTAGCCTCGTGTTTTGAGAGAGTTCCGGCAACAGCAGAGAAGGATGATTCAACTTTCTTCTCGAAGGCGTCAACACGGTTATTGATCTTCTTGATCTCACCGACGCAAGCGTTGATATCATCCCTACATGAACGAATCTCAGCTCTGCATCCCTGGATTTCGGCCTTGCACCCCTTGACCTCGTTATGGATCGCGAGAAGCAGTCGTTGAAGCTCAGATGCAACAGGATGGCCGCCACTTGTGGAAGCAGACGGAGCAGGACGACTATCAGCGTCATGATCTCCGCGCTATTCTCTTCCCTGTCGGGAGTGCAGCCCGGAGTTCCGATTTGAAAGAATGCGGGGACAACGGAGTCGTTGACCGGTTGATTCGAAGGAAGCCCTCCATATCCAGGGGCAACAGTGCTAAGTCCAGGTCTCCGGTTCCTAGGCGTAGAGTTAATCCCGTCATCAGTCTCCTTCTCAGACATCGGGGCATTGGAGCTGAGCCCAGACCCCGCAGAGTGTATAGGAACGTCAATAGGATCGTGATGAGCTGGGGGATTAGATCGCAGTCGTAGAGCAGCTTCACGTCTCTCGGGTGACTCAGAGCTCCTCTTTGTGGCTCGTGAGTCAGTGCCGGTTTGTCCCGACACATTATCAAATGATGATGATCCGCGAAGTTGAGCTTGATCTGGATTAGGTTGAGTGAGATCAAGCCGTTGAGCAACGTCACCATTGAGTGGCTTAGGGGAAAGTACTTTGGCAACGCGGCTCGGCGGGAGCGATGTAGTTCGTCTCTCTGGTGTGACCTCGGCCTCATCGATTACATCAAGGATTCCAGGAATGGTTTCATCATCTTCATTTCCTCTCCTGGGTGGCTGATGGAAGGGGATGTCGAGGAGGTCAAATGGAGTAGAGCCAATACCAGGTGTATCCTGCTCGGATCCATCGCTGGTACGGTGGCTGGACTGCTCCTCGAGGTCGATGACGTCGGGGGCGGACTCTTTTCGAGTCTGACGCCGATTGAACGCCGCGAAGAGACCGGCATGGCTTCTTGACGAAGAGAAGGAAGGATTTGGGCCTGCTGTTTCGCGGCCCGCATCCGATCGACTAGTACCTGATGTCCGATTTGGCGGATTTGAGCCCGCGTTGTAGCGGTTCGCATCCCGACCTCGGGTACCTGAGGAAAGCGGTGGATTCGGACCAGCGTTGTAGCGGTCCGCATTCCGGTCGCGGGTACCTGACAGGTGAGATGATACTGCATCAGGGATGAAGTCCATATCCGCCGGACTGGGGTGATCGTGAATGATGTCAATGTCGGATGAACCTGAGACGGGAGGAGGGCCAGCTATTTGCGGCCAATCCTCAATCGCCCGTTTGCCCACCTCGGGTTGGGCCGAACCTGCAACATGAGAAGGGGAGAAATCTTCAATGGGGTCATTTTCTCCATCATGAGGAAAACCCTGAGTAGGCTCATGCGTAGGCAGGGCATCAAAAGATCTGTCAATTCGGGAAGGCTGAGACCTCCAATCGGCATCAAAAAGGGATTGAAAATCCAGATTCCCAACCGAAACGGGGGCACCCGAGTTAAAGTCGAGCCGACCGAAATCAGGCGGTGTAGCCTGCGATCCACTGCCGAGGAGTTGGTCAAACTGATCCCATGTAAGGGACCATGATTGAACCGGCTCCGGATGAGCAGCATGATGGGCAGCCCGGTCCTCGATCTGGAGCGCCACGAACGGAACAGTAGGCGAAATCGATGAGGGCACCTGATTTGGAGGAACCTCAGCCTCTTCTAGAGGGGGTCCGTCCTCGATCTGGAGCACTGCCGCCGGGATAGGGGCCTCCGCATCCTCATCAAACACAACCTGAGAAAGGATCCAATCGTCCGTGATCACCCCGGGATTGGGCTCTGCGCCCACCATCGGGGGAATGGGCCACAGCCGGCTGTCTAAGCCGGGGGCAGCAGGCGCGGCGTTGCCGCGAAGGGCGTTGGCCTCGTCGTCCACGAAGCCCGGCCCACGATGAGAAGCTCCGGGGGACGCCATTGCTCGTACAAGTAGGCGATGGGAGCAGGTAGCGGGTCACGTCCCGCAACCGGATCACCAGCCCCAGCTTCTAGCTGGTACGGCTGATAACCTGCGGTTTTGGGCGAACACGAAGTAGCCCAGGGAATCAAAGAGGTACACGTGATCCACGAAGTACCAAAAGAACCCAGTCCCAACGCACAATGGTGAAGTCGCTGATGACCAGGTTGTGGGAGTGACAGTTGAAGAAGATCAAGTTTGGGAGGGTTGGAAAACAGGTTACAACAGAAAGTGAAGTTCAGAACCAGGCCCAGGAAGTCCTCGACGACCAGCCACCCACCACCTAACACCGGCCGCGGCAGCACCAGGACCTTTTCCCGATGATGACGCAGGCCGCCGTGCTATGGCGGATGCACGCAAATCCGAGAGACCCCTGACGGGAGGTTTAAACTTGAGCCAAACGGCCATTCGGCCGTTTTGCCACATGATGAAACAACACGTGAACGAAACACAAAATCAAAAGACACACCAACATGCCGAAATCCGGTCGTGCTAAGAAAAATCGGGGGGGGGGGGGGCGACATTGTCATCCCTCTTTGGCTGCTTTTTGGCATGCCTTGTTGTTGCGTTTGAAACAAAATGGGCTTTGCACTCGCCCCAGACACCGGGCCCCAAGTCTCGCTCCCGCTCTCAGGTCGGCACGGGGACGATGACCTCGGCGCCCTTCTCTGTGCAGGGATGGTCCCAGTTCCGCGTGTCGGGCGGCAGCAGGCTGTTGCCTGGTCGCAGTGCCTTCCGTAAACCGCGCGGGGGTTTACTGGTTTACTCCCTAAATTAACATTGGGTTGCCCAGAACAGGCTCCAACTCCCAAAAGGAGAAGGAACTCCCTCTGGCGCTACTCCCCAATCACCATGGTCAGGCCCCTGCCTTTAGGCGAAAAATACGGGGTCGAAAACAGATTCAGCATATCCATCCGGAGAATAACACATATTTCAACACACATCTATCCCCATGTTCATTTCTCCTGGAAAATTAACTCAAACTCAGTCGGGGTGGCTTCTTTAGGCACGCTGGTTGCAAGAAACTAGAACTCTTCCAACTTGAACCCCTGGCTTTTGTAGAGAGCCGATCCCCCTCCACCACCAAACCACCAATCCAAGCCACCAACTAAGCTTTACCAGAAACAAGCTGGGGACCGAAACATCAAAAGGTTGGATCTTTGAACCAACAAAAAACGCCAAAAGCAGCTAAGCACCTCGTCAGCACTGGAATGTGTCACATACTAGTCAACACTAGGGATGCTTTCCCGTTGTGTTTTCGTGATACCACGAAGCAGATGGATGTTGGGCTTCCGTCTTAATCTCCAGGCGGGGGGCTTGACTTGCAAGCCCGCCTTAAGCTGAGACAACGCGCTTGGCGCGGAGTCGCGGCGACCGATCCGACTCGATCGACGATCGGATAAAATATAGCAGAGCCGCACTCGCCGCCCAAAAAGTCGTTGGTGTGCAGGGTGCTGAAGCCCCAGGTGAAGCCTACCGACGGCGAGCGAGCGGACCAGTTTTTCCTTCAAAAAAACTTTGTGGGCACCCATCTCTTTGTGAGCAACCCTGTTCTTGGCTTTTAATCACATCTTTCTATTGGGAGCTTCTCAAACTAGAGGCTTTTTTGTGAGTATAGCCCTGTTAGGTGGTGTTAAATATCATATTCGGAGCTTATCAAAATGAGGGATAACCTTTCTGGGTTGGTCTTCACAGGGGGGCTGAAGTTGAAGGAAACTTTAGGGCACCCTACTTTGCCAACCCGGCTGAACGGGCTGCTCCGGAACGGCCGGAGGCTTTGCCTGTTGAGATGATCCCCGAGGCTCCCATCCATCCAAAAGGATGTGCCGCAAAAGGCCGGGGACCCGGGCCTAAGAACCCCCCAATGCCTATGCCAATGTTGCCCCTCAGCGGGAACAACAGGGACTTGTTTTTGTTGGCAGCTGAGTTGCTAAATGAACCCCTGCCTCCAACGAAGAAAGGGCAGCAGTCTCTGATCTGCTCACCGATCGGCCAAAAAGTAACCAAACTGGTCATGTACCACGAAAATGGGTCCAAACGCAGAAAGCGCCTAAAGTCCGAACCGGAACTCAGGAAGTGAGTGGGTTTAAAGAGGTCTTCCAACCCTCAAAGTAAATTTGAGACCCCCGGCAAGTGGAACGACCCGGGCTGGACCCAAACACGTGAAAACTCCAGCGCCTTCCTCCCCGGAGAGCGCCGCAGGGATGGCCACTACGCGGTCCAGCACATCGGCATAGTCCACCTGGGAAGGTTGTTGGGCACCGATGGAAACCCGGAGGGAAGGTTCCATTTAGCTGTGGGTCAAAAAGGCGTACCGAAAATGGCTTGCCCTGGTAAATGGCACCAAAGACTAAAACCTGCGGTCCCCTGGTAGTTCTCCTTTGGCAAAGGGAGGCCGCGCCTCGCGTTGTCGGCGCCCCCGCCCGCCCCCCCGATTCGCAGCCGAGCCTTGAGGCGCCGGAAGAGCTCGAGAAAGGCCTCCATCGAGTCGAGTCGGTTGGCTTCAAAGGGGGTGGTTCAAGGGGCTTGGTTTGAAGGGAAACCAAGAGGAAACCCAAGCAAAATCACGGATTTTGCGGGAAGTCAGAGGGAAGCCACAAAATTTGAGGGATCCTTTAGGTTGGCATGGTAACCAAAAGAAACCTTCCAAAACCACACGGAAAATGGCTGGCTACCCACCCAGTCAGTGTTTTGCGCAAGGTTTCGAGTGGCAGGATGGGCTTTGATTCGGGCTTCATTTGGTCGTCAGCTTCGCTTTCTCATTCGAACCCGGAAAGTTGATTATCAACATGGGAAGTCTAGTGTTCCTGCCTGGTTCAGGGCTTGATTCACGGTTTGGTTCTTTAGGGGCCTTGGGTAACCCGCCTCCTTCAAGGGATTAGATTAGATTTAGATTAGATTTAGATTAGATTAGATTAGATTAGATTAGATTTAGATAGATAGATTGACTTGATTAGGATAGATAGATAGATAATTAGATTAGATTAGATTAGATTAGATAGATGGATTGACTAGATTAGATTAGATTAGATTGGATGAGATCAGATTCAATTGGATTAGATTAGGATAGATAGGTAGATAGAGAGAGCGAGAGAGCAACAGAGAGATAGACAGAGACAGGGACAGACACATAGACAGAGACAGCAGACATACGGACAAACAGACCGACGGACAGGCAGGCAGATAGACAGATAGACAGATACAGACAAATACAGAGAGAGATAGAGAGAGACAGAGACAGACAGAGACAGACAGAGACAGACAGAGACAGGCAGAGACCAGCAGAGATACTCAGGGACAGGCAGAGACAGGCAGAGACAGAGACAGACAGGAGGAGAGAGATAGAGTGAGTGATAGCATGATAGAGCGATAGAGTGACAGAGTGAAAGAAAGATACAACAGACAGACAGATAGACAAACAAAAGGATAGGCAATAGCTGATAGTAGCCCTTAGGACCCCATCTTGTGTTGAGAAGCTTCACCCTTAGGCGGAATGACCCAAGCATCCCCCGACCCCGCGCACCTTCCGCCCGGGCTCCACCAGCACCAGCCAGGCCGACTCGTCTGTCCGCAGCTCCGGCAGGAAGCGGCTCCACTCGTGAGCGCCCACGTCCACAATGACCTGATCAGGGCTCCTTAACTTTCCCTTCAGGCGGGAAAGGGAAAAAGACAAACATGACTGCACTGACATGTGGAATTTGTAGGCCATCTACTTCAAAAACCATCTGCTTTCAAGTGATTCGGATCCTCACCGAGCAAAAAGGCGGCAATTAAAGGCAGGCCGAAAATTTGCATCGTAGGCCGAGAACAAGCGAGCCATCGAAACCAGGCGTGAATAACTCAACTCCGTGAGTTGATTGTCATTCACCAAGGGTTTTATGAGAAACACCTCCAACGACACGTCTGCTTTCTGGCATCCTTGCGAGAACTGGCTGCAATCACATCCACCCGGGGTGTATGAACAAACTGAGATTCGCAGGGCAAGAAGACCGGGTATTGGAGGAAGAGGCCTACCCAAATCCATGGGAACGGAGTTGCGGAAAGGGGCCTGTCCCCTACATTTAGCTGCATGAGTGCGGCTCAAACAAGTTTTTGGTGGCCTCCGGCAAAGGAAATACATATTCCACTTGCGCACACAACCTGGAAATAAAAGGTCAACCTTTTCGGACCTTGGCGCAACACCGGCCAAATTAAGAAACCAGAAGGTCAAAAGGTTGGATTTGGACAGCTGGGAACAGACAACCTACCACAATCCATTTTTACCGCTTGCACCCGTAAGCCGTGACTGTTGTGTAGCCGTTCAAAAATGTATCCCTGTTATGGGCCCTACCAGCCTGCCAGCTTGGGGGTTCATGTGCCACGGGGGGATCGAACCACCAGCTCCAATCAAAACCACCTGCTCCCCGTGAGTCCGTCCTCAATCCGTCGCTGTCGCTTTTGCCCGCATGGAATGGTGTCCTGCAGAAGCTGCTTAAAGCTGACAGCATGTGGCTAGGACCATCCTCAACCTGTGCGCCGCCGCTTTGGCCCACTGCTGACAAATGTTGGCAAAAGCTGGCTACCTGCTGACAGCATAAGACGTCCAGCCTCGACAAGACCAAAAAGCGAAGGCCAGACAGGACGACTCGGACCATTTCCCTCCGGACATTGCTGGTGGCTCTCGCCAGAGTCGCGGATGTAGACACTCCGGCCCCCTCTCTCGCCAAAGTCGCTATTATAGACATTCCGGCCCCCTCTCTCGCCAAAGTCGCTAGTATAGACATGCCGGCCCGCACTCTGGCCAGAGCCACGCACATAGACATACCGCCCACCCTGCGTGGTCGTCCAAATGTGTTCCGGCAAAGGTTTTGTAGTGATCTCCATCCAAACTTGATCTACAGCTCCCTGCTCAGCCAGCTCACGAAAGACCCACAGCCGGCGATTCCCTGTGAAAGCCCACCATTTGCCATCCTTCTTGGTGATTTGCATCCTGGGCAGGTCTTTGACACAGGTCTGACCAGAGAGAATCTCCCGCAATGTCCTCCGCAACAACCTGCCGCAGCTAAAGCGCGGGCTGATTGAGTCATGGGAGAAATGCACCTGCATTGGCGAGATATAGATGGAGCTGGTTTTGCGCTGGCGCAAGCTTTCAGCATGAACAATCAGCGAAGGAAGCTCTTCGCCAGGCTGGGCAGCCCAACGCTGCTCAAGCAGATCTTTCGAAGCCTCATCGTCCTGCCAGGCGCCCTGAATATGGTCCTGTCCGCAGTGCGCGTCTCGCAAGTGATCGTCCAGTGCCTTTGAATGCTTGAACATTCTTTGGCAGAACTGGCACTGGACATGTCCCGCTATGTGGGCGTCATAGTCACCTACGTCGCGCCATGCCATGTTGCACAAGTCACAGACATAGTCGCATCCACACCATGAGTCGCGCAAGTGATCGTCCAGTGCCTTTGAATGCTTGAACATTCTTTGGCAGAACTGGCACTGAACATGTCCTGCTATGTGGGCGTCATAGTCGCCTGCATCACGCCATGCCATGTTGCACAAGTCACAGACATAGTCGCATCCACACCATGAGCCGCGCAAGTGATCGTGCAGTGCCTGCGAATGCTTAAATATTCTTTGGCAGAACTGGCACTGAACATGTCCGGCTTTGTGGGTGTCACAGTCGCCGGCATCACGCCATGCCATATTGCACAAGTCACACACATAGTCGCATCCACACCACGAAGCGCGCAAGTGATCGTCCAGTGCCTTTGAATGCCTGAACATTCTGTGGCAGAACTGGCACTGAACATGTCCCGCTATGTGGGCGTCATAGTCGCCTACATCACGCCATGCCATGTTGCACAAGTCACAGACATACTCGCATCCACACCACGAGTCGCGCAAGTGATCATCCAGTGCCTGTGAATGCTTGAACTGTCTTTGGCAGAACTGGCACTGAACATGTCCGGCTATGTGGGCGTCATAGTCGACTACATCGCGCCATGCCATGTTGCACAAGTCACAGACATAGTCGCATCCACACCACGAGTCGCGCAAGTGATCCTCCAGTGCCTGTGAATGCTTGAACATTCTTTGGCAGAACTGGCACTGAACATGTCCGGCTATGTGGGTGTCATAGTCGCCGGCATCACGCCAAGCCATATTGCACAAGTCACAGACATACTCGCATCCACACCACGAGTCGCGCAAGTGATCGTCCAGGGCCTTTGAATGCTTGAACATTCTTTGGCAGAACTGGCACTGAACATGTGCCGCTATGTGGGCGTCATAGTCGACTACATCGCGCCATGCCATGTTGCACAAGTCACAGACATAGTCGCATCCACACCATGAGTCGCGCAAGTGATCGTCCAGTGCCTGCGAATGCTTGAGCTGTCTTTGGCAGAACTGGCACTGAACATGTCCGGCTATGTGGGCGTCATAGTCGCCTGCATCACGCCATGCCATGTTGCACAAGTCACAGACATAGTCGCATCCACACCACGAGTCGCGCAAGTGATCGTCCAGTGCCTTTGAATGCTTGAACATTCTTTGGCAGAACTGGCACTGAACATGTGCCGCTATGTGGGCGTCATAGTCGCCTGCATCACGCCATGCCATGTTGCACAAGTCACAGACATAGTCGCATCCACACCACGAGTCGCGCAAGTGATCGTCCAGTGCCTTTGAATGCTTGAACATTCTTTGGCAGAACTGGCACTGAACATGTGCCGCTATGTGGGCGTCATAGTCGCCTGCATCACGCCATGCCATGTTGCACAAGTCACAGACATAGTCGCATCCACACCACGAGTCGCGCAAGTGCTCGTCCAGTGCCTGTGAATGCTTGAACTGTCTTTGGCAGAACTGGCACTGAACACGATCGCTCATCTGAGGCTGCGCCCTATGGCTGCGAACCGCTGCGCGCAGAGAAGGCAACTCACACCACCCTACAGACCTTGAAGGGGTTGAGCTTCTTGGGTCAAGATATCTCTGCATTTTTCAGGCTCCCCCACCCCGCACAGCCAGGCATTACCTTTGCCGTCCAATCATCGCATTAAATGAGGATCAAATGACCACAGAAAGCAACTTAAAACCTCCAAGGTGGTTGCATTTGTATTCTTCATGTCTGTCTCAATCTGAAAAGTGCCAAACGCCAGGATTGGAGAGAAAAACACATGTAAACAATCTCCACGCTTTTCCACCCCTAGAAGGCTAGAAGGGAAGCAAATCCTCAGGTTCCTGCAACAACAGGGAGTGAGGGCAACATGCTTCGCCCTCACTACCAGGCCCCATAAATCCACTCGGCTTTCCCCGCGATGCCGCTCTGCCTGGGACACTGGGCGGTAGCTCAAAGCCTTCCAGAGCCCAGTCTGCCACAGCAGCGTGGGCGCCATACGGGGCGGCTTGGGCCTCACCGACTCGACCGCGCGTAGGCGAAGCAGCGCGTGGGGGGAGTAAACCCCCAAACCACCCAGGGGGGGAGACCTGAGCCTCACTTGCCAGGGTGGCTTCTTGAGGCCCAAAGCCGGATGGAATGACACAGGTGTTCGGGCGGGGGGAAAACGGATTGACTTGCCCTCTTTGCATCCAGAAATCAAAGTGATCTTTTGTGACCAAAGGCCTATGGTTGCCAAAGCAGGAGTCGATTCGCTTTGGACAAGTGAAAAACCACTGCTTCAGCTTTGGCCCTGGAAACTCGCGAACATAGAATATAGGGGGTGGTTCTTTTTTTCGTGGACCCCTTAAAATGGTCCTTTGGGTCTCCCTTTTCAAACCACAAGCAAATGGTACTCTCAAAAAACAGGCCCACAAGGCGGGTTCCCAAACCAATGCAAGCAAAACCTGCTTGTGCCCTACATGCAGCAGGCTTTCATGGGGATTCCCAATTTTCCACAGTCGTTGCCCTCCCTCAGCCATCCCAAAGTATTTCTGCAATCGGTCCCGTGCAATTTGTTAACTACCCCTACAAATGAACATGGAACCCCAAAGGCCACAAGTTTGTAGAGGAACCTCCTTTTGGGGGCCTTCCGTTATTTTGTAGGGGCTCCCAATCAACCGGTCCCGCTTCAAGATGTTAACTCCCAGTGATGGGATAACCTCTTGAAAAATCAGCTACCTCTAATTGGTTGTTTGGATTGGTTTGGGTTGGTTTGGAGGTTCGGGGGGAGCTTCCCATGCATTCTGTACAAGAAGGGGCTCCAATCCCCAGCCCCCGCCAATCCAAACCACCAAATTAAGCGTTTCCTGACACATGCTTCCCCAAAAAGTCCAAGAGAAAGCCACCTCCACTGTAGCACCCATGTCCTTGCAGTTTCCCCCAACCCCCCAACCCCCAATCCAAAGCACCAAGGAGTTGTCTGAGAAAAGGTCTTGGTTCAAAGCCCATGGTGTTGCCCAAAGTTTGTCCCATGGAGTGTTTTGTGCGATTGGTTTACTTGCGTATCTTGGGCATCCACCGTACAAACATATATATATATATATACATATATAGATAGATGTTTGTGTGTGTGTGTGTGTGCGTGTGCGTGTGCGTGTGCGTGTGTACATATGATACATTGGAAAAAATCAACAATTAACACACTCCATTTCCTCTTTTTGGACATCCAAAAGTTGCAGTTTTGTTGGAAACCACCAGGAAGTTGCAGCTTCGTGTGAGAAGCGGCACATGGTATCCTATATGTATAAAGTCCAGGTCCAGGAACTCAGGCATTGTCAGGCAGACCCCCCCCCCCCAAATTGCGGTGTTCCTCTTGGTTTCCCTATACATAGAACCCCAAAAATATATGTATATACATATATACAGCCACGCTCAAAAACCAAGCGGACCCAAGTGGAGTAACCCCTGTGCTCTTCTTGCGGGTTTACGATCTGCCATGGTGCACCATCTCGTCCAGCACTGACGCGGTGTAGCCCTGGCCGCCCACTTCCGGCGCCTCCAAAAGCGCGCGCAGCACCTGAGGCTTCTCAACTTGGGGCCTCTTCTGGACTTTGATTCGGGGATTAGGTAGGTTTCGGGGCCGAGGTAGATGAGAGAGCCCCTGCCGGGTTCCTGTCTGATTTTGCAATGTGATGCGTATCAAGCTTTTTGCTTAACAAAGAGTTGACAGGTTCAGGATCTTTTGACAGAGGAAACTCGTGTTTGCAGGCCCTTCTGGGGTCCATCTTTCAGGAGTGGAACACTGGTTGTTGGCTGGCTGGCTGGCTGGCTGGCTAGCTGGCTGGAAACGACACAACCCATCCCGAGATCCTCTTCCGGTTTCCCAAAGCCCCGAGATGGCCCGCCACCGAAGCAGGGTCAAATGCGAGCTGGTTTCAAAGAACATTGCTTGAAAGCATGGGGGACTCTCCTGGATTCCTTAAATGGGTGTAAGGGGGGTAGGGGGGTGACCGCTGTGAAACTGTCTGGCTTTCAAACCTCTGAAGAGACACCTTCACGAAAAAAGCCACAAAGGATCGAACTTCCACAACTTGCCCAGTTTCCAGTTTGGACCCGGAAATGAAACGTGATCGCCCTTTGTGACCTTGACTGAGTATGGATGTCTGTTTTTGAAGGTACCCCATATTTGCATTTCAAAGGGAAACCAACAAGGAAACCATCATTTTCCGTGCCCAAAAAGACACCGGCTTTGGGCTGAGTTTCTGAGCTCCTTTCCGAACGGGTTCTGCAACCATGCCCTGAAAGGAGACAAATCACGCGGATTGTTTTTCTGGAAAGGGGGGCGCTCACAATTTGGACCCAGCCGGAGCCCCGTGCAACTTGCGTACCCGATTACCCAAATTGTTGGATAAATGACCCTCTAAAAGGTGGGTGTCAGGCCAAAGTCATTTTGAGAACCCTGAATTTGTTCAGAGACCCAGCGCATCCAAATGAATCACGAATGCGGTCTGCCTCTGACCTCTGCTTCCCCCTGCAGCTGCCACCTGAGCTACCTTCTGCGAAATATATGACAAGCTGCGAATGCGCACTGGGCAGCGTCGGGCTCAATTTCCACATTCTCACGCGAATCCGAGTGAAACAAACGAATGCTATGTCATGCTGCGATCTGCTGCGTCGATTGCACATGTGCTGCATGCCATGCAAGTGAAATGCATCTGAATGATGTGCCGCGCGGGCCGACAGCGCACAAAGTCAATGCAAAGTCAAGTGAAGCTGCCAATGTCAAGTAGGGCCTTGGGGCCTCCAGATAAAGGCGAATCTCACATTCCTTCTTTTTCTTTTGTTGACTTTGAATCTTGCTCCTCGCCAGAACTGGCTGCTGCTTCAGTCTGCATGAAATAAACGATCTTCTTGATGCGATCTTCCTTCTGTTGCTGCTTCTGGGGATCTTGCTGCTTAACCTTGCGCAAACTCTGCCGCTGCGTCCGCTTCTTCTCCTTCGACTGTCTGTTTGCTTCGGTCTGTGTCAAGCAAATTTACCCTCTCGCAACACTAAAAAAGCACTGCTGTTTCTGCTCGGAGCTTCGTGAGCACATCAGCCATATTCTGGCCACCATCTATCCACCTCACAAAAGCTTCCTTCCTGCGTACTGTCTCTCTCAAGAGCGCACCTTCTATCGCCATCCGCTTGTCGTTGCTTATGGTATGAGAATCCTTGCTGGGGTAATCATAAACTGAACGGGTGTCTGTGACGTACACCGTTTACGTTCCTCCACAATCTTGTCCCAGTTCTTCAAGTCTATCGCCCTGCAAAGCTTCTGCCAAAACCACTGCTAGCCAGTCACCTGCTTCCACTGCTTCTGACAAGTTAGCTGCTTCTGCCGCCAGTGTGCTCCGGCAAACTCTCTTTGCTTGCGAAGATTGAAAACTGATCAAGCTTGCACGTACCTCGCTTCCGTCAAGAACTCCCGGGTTCGCTAGCAAAAGGAAATAACCGCCGACTGAACAGTACTTCAGGATGTTGCCCCTACATGACAACCCTCATCTGTCAACCGCGCTGCCAGGCTGCCCAGGAAGTACTTGGCCCGGTCCACAATCGCACCACGCTCGGGCATGCCTGCCCATCCACTCCAACTCATCTCAAAGGCTTGAATGACCTCGAGTCCAGTGGGGTTCTTGCCAAGAGGCTGCAGACCTGAAAACCAGTACCTTGTCAACGACGTTCAACCGCATCCACTCATCCCCATTCGAATCCTTCTCGCTCAGCACGTCCAAGCCGACCACCACATTGAACTCATCTACATGAGGTAGCCGCGAAGGTCTAGGGATTTTCGGCTCCAGCAACCTTGGGCACTCCTTGCACCGAAACAACCTGCATGCCCACTTTGCCGTCTCCGAAGCCTGAGACACTCGAAGAGCTCGTAGCATGTCTGGTATTCGGGAATGACCAAGCTTTGTGTGGATGCGCTGCAACGCCAGTTGCCTGCGACTTCCTTTCACGCTCGGCCTCCTTGTGTCTCAAAGGATCTGTAGGCTGTTCTGCCTCATCTCCAGGTTCAACTTCATCTTCTCCAACCGTCGCGCCGAAGAGTGTCACGCACATCACGTGCGGCTTGTTGGGCAAAGGTCTCAACTGAGAGCTCGGTGCCATCTGCTGCCAATCTTCCCAACCGGTAGACAAAATGTCCCTGCTGGTCATGTACATCACGGGCTTGCGAAGTGGAACTTCTGCTGGTTGTACATGAGGCTGAGGTTTTCTCATTCTTCTCGCATTCGTTGAAGCCAAAACCCATCTGACGTCGGCCTGCTCGGACTCCAAAGACTTCCACGGAGTCCTTGTCGATGATGACCCAACCACCGACTGAACCACTCTCGCGGTAGGCCTCAGCAGTCATCTCCACCATATTCCTCACCTTCTCGTCCTCGACGAAGGTCCATAGTCCCCGCCCGCGCAGTTGTCTTGTCTCCGCCCTTCTCTTCAAAGGCTTTGTTTTCTCCTCTGCAGCTGGCGCTGGCCTATCCAAGGCCTATCCAAATCTCGCCCTGCTTCAGCTCGATCTCTCCATGAAATGATGTTGCTGCTCCTCGCCGATGTTCTGCACACAGGTCGATCTCTTACCGGTGAACCGTGCTAGTTGTACAGGAGGTGCTGTTGATGCAAGAGATACAAAAAGTGCTCGCCGAGGAACAACGTGATGCGAACTCTTGTAGTTCCCAAGAGTCCTCGTCCGGCTTTTCCACATCTTCTACAATCTCCTGCTCCACCTCCGGCATAGACTCGTCTTCATCTTCCACCGGTAGTGCATCATGTAGAGCAACTCCATCTCCTTCTGGATGCCACGACAAATGGCTCGGCATAGAGGCTGAGGGTATTCAGATGCTTGTCGTGAGCGACTTCCTGAATTGCTCCCCACAATCGGCTGATGTGTCCCATGTGGACACGAGCATCGCCGGCAAACCTGATTCAAGATGATCTCGGAGTTGGAGAGCCACCCAGGGTCCTCTTCTGCTCTGGCCGTAGGCCACGATCTCGCTTCCCGAAAGGACATTGATCACCAATAGCTAACTTGCCATCCATGTTCTTGATGATGTCCATCAGGATCTGTCGGTATGACAAAGCCTTTGAACTCAACGGATTCTCCACCAGGTAGAAGCGACCGTGTTCGTGCTGGTACTTGCAGATGTCCCTGACCAGCCGCAAAGTCTTCACCCCGATGGTCTGTCTCAAGAAGTCCCAACGACCATTTGGCGTCATGTTCGTCATGATGCTCCAAGTCCTGCAATCAAAAGCCACGATGGCCAGGAAAGGCCTGTGACATCGTAGTACCTGGAAAAGATGCCATCGTCCAGCTTCTCCAAGTAGGTCGTACCCATCAAGTAGATCTAAAGGTTGACTGCACGCCCACCCCCATTCTGAACTTGCTATGCGTGTAGTCCCAAACCTGCCACCGAAGGGCTCGAAGACAACGGTGTTGGTAAAGCCGTTCGTTGCCGCCTGCTCCGCCAGATTGTAGTTCCGCCGCAAAGCCACCCATGTGCGTGCATCGTTTGTTCTCAACCTTCTCATCGTCCTCGCTAACTCCATCGCCCTCCGCATCGGTAGTTCTCCACGTGCATCATGAAGACGAACTCCCCTCGCGCCAAGGTACTCGGTGAACATCAGGGAGTAGGCCGCTTCCTGGTTCAGGTAGACGAAGAGGTCCTCGCTCGTCGGACCAGGGCCCAACTCGGTAACTGTCTTAATCTGGGAGTCATAGGCGACCTTAACCGCGTAGTGCTTAGTATCCGTAACCGCCAGCGGCAGGTCCAAATCCAGCTCATCCAAACGAATGACCTTCTTGCGCATGAACAGTACCGCATCTAAGGCCACCATAGCTGGTATGCTCAGCAATAAAGGGGTAGTCCCGGTCTCGATCTCTGCCGACTGCACCAGCCCTGATCGGTTTCCCAGAAACATTGGCACTCGTGCTGTTGCCATCTGCAAAGTGGAAGATCTTTGAGCCATGTGCGCCTCGTTGATGCCGTGACCTCCATCTTGAAGTTGGTGATGAGCTTTCAAGGCGTCCTCCATGCGACTATCAATCTTGATTTGGTTCGTTCGCATCTCTAGTGACAGCAAAAGCACACTCCATGCGGTCGAAATGCATGTCACCGCAACCAATTCTGAATGAATTATCTTCATGCATTTGCCCGCGCACGGGGGCAACCACCGCCTTATTCTCAAAGACCACCACGGGGTCTCTCCCTTGATCTTGCCGTTGAGGATATCCAGGCTGTCTGCCAATGGTCCCGAGAAGGCGCACTTGGCCTTGCTGAAGCGACTGCGACCGAAGAAGAGACCACCATCTGAACGATTTTGACGAAGTACCATTGGAGCTGCGCACTCAATGCGTCGCAAGTCATCCAGTGGTGCGCTCCAAGTCCTTAACTTCAATCTCCTTCTTCTTTGACATCTTCGTATTCGCCGACCGCCCCGTCTGAGACATGCTCGCATAGGCAGCCGTTTCTTTTTTCTCGTGCTCCTCGCTGCGCTGGTCGCTCAGGTGGGTTGAGCCTGAGGGTGCGCCGGGCTCGAACTTCTTGGTGTCGTAGCTTCGAAATATGCAACCCGGCTCATAGTTCGCCAACAGCATCTCCAGGCGCTCCCGATGTCTGAATGCCCCATTTGCATCTCATGAGCTCGAAGATCTGGCCAGTTCTCGGGCACGACATCCTTCCTGCTCTTTGGGCTGAAAGACCTCTTGCTTGTCGGAGATGGGACGTGTCATGGGCATGCTGGTAGTAGATGACGTTGAGATCGGCTTGTAGACCTCCTCAGACCGCGGCATCGGGGGCTCGCGGACCTCCCAGTCCAAAGTCTCCGCGTTTTGGTAGGGCATCTTCCGTCGGCCATCCAGCGGTGTACCCGGCGTACTGCTGCATGTCGTTCTGCGCCTCCTCATCGCGCACCATCACGCAGACGGCCTCGCTCAGGACCAACTCAGCTGCGTCCTTGTCCAAGTCCTCCAGGTTGCAGAACGCGGGCTCCGCGGAGACAATGTAGGCTGCCTTGCCGGAAGCTTTGCCTTTGCTGGACTTCCATTTGCCCTGCGGTCCCGCATTGCTTGTCTTGGGACATGCGGCATCTCCTGCCCACTGACCAACCTTGTGACAGGCAGAGCAGCGACTCCGTGCCTTCTCCCGCTCGATGAGTTGCCGCCGATCTTCACTTCTTGTAGAAGCCGCGAAATTTCTGAACTTCACGTAGCCTCCGCCTCACATCCTGATAGCTCAATCGGTTCTCGCTCATCGATGCATAGGCCTCATTGATGTAATCATCTTGAGATGCACCGCAACCGGACTGCTCTTCTAACTCCCCTCTTCCTGCACGTGCATGGCGTCTTCCACCTCCCAGAATGCATCATCCGGCTCGTCATAGGTTCAGTCATTGTCGCCGACGCTCTTGTTGGCCTCCTCGACTTCTTCATCTTGTGCTGCAAAACCTCGCCGATGAAAACGTCCCGGGGGTTGCTTTGGCTCAGTCCGCCATGTGTTCTTCTCGCGCTCATGCAGGTCGTGGAAGGAGACTCAAAGTGCCTGTTCAATCCCCTTTCTCTCATAGGCATTCTTGTTGGCCAGCAGGATGGATCGCCTGTCCTTCCGCGAGAGATGACATCCCTTCAACACGAAGTAGCTCAGGAGGTCCTCACTCATCGCAGAATTTTCGTCGCCCTGCCAGGCTTGAACCTTCTTCCGCAGATACTGGTCGATGGGCTCACCACTCTTCCTGAGCGTGTTCTCGAAGAAGTAGACAGTCAAATGCCTCCGTCTTCCGAATCATGCCTTCCTTCTCGATCTGTTGCAAAGCCGCTAGCACTTGCTTGTAGCCGTCTACAGTCTTTAGCTTCTTGGGCTCCAGGACCAAAGACCTCCACCGCTCTCCATGCCTCACCGTGCAAGCCGTTGATCAGCTTCATCGCAAACCGCTTTTGCTTTCTCACCAGATCTGCCGCTTCCTTCTCGGGGCTGTCGCAATCACCTTCCAGAGATCCATATGCAAACAGCACCTCCGACAGTATTCTTTCATCAAAGATGCTACCTCGCCAGTGAAATGAGGAACACCGTCCTTGTCCACGACGATCTCACTGTCGGACTAGAAAGGCTTGCCACCTTGGCCAGCACCGGAAGCCATGGATGCCATGGAGCTCCGGCTCCGCTACCAGTGCGAATGCGCACTGGGCAGCGTCGGGCTCAATTTCTACACTCTCACGCGAATCCGAGTGAAACAAATGAATGCTACGTGAGTCATGCTGCAATCTGCTCTGTCGATTGCACATGTGCTGCATGCCACGCAAGTGGAATGCATCTGAATGATGTGCCGCGCGGGCCGACAGCGCACGATGGGCCATCAGCCACTGTTTGCTCGATCAAAAGCCATGCCCATCAATGCAAAGCTTTTGAAGGGATCCCGTATTTCTGGCGGGAAACACTCCCAAATAATTCATCGGGAGTTGATCATGTCTTCACATTCTACATGAGTGTTTGGAGGGGGGTTGCAGGGAAACCCATGTGTTAGGAACAAAAGTAGTGTCTCCTTATTCTGCCCAAGCCAAGCATCCTGCGTTTTGCTCGTTTTACTTTGAGGCGAACTGCCCAATTAAAACAAAATGCTCCCCTCGCCGATCCCCAATCTCTGATGCGCCGCCTCAGCACCATCAACCAGGTCAAAGAAGAAGTCCGGCACGAAGACGGGGTCGACGAATGCCCCCACATCCCTGGGCCAGACTTACGGATCCTTGGGGGGCTTCCGCGCAACCCAATAAACACTCTTAGACGTGACTCCGACATGTGGGTGTGCCTTTTTTAGGCAACCCCTGTTTGGGTTGGTTTAAAGGGAAGATTCCTCCCCCCCCCCCCCATTTCTTCACATGCCCGTGCTTTGCCGCAACGAGGTGTCCAGGAAGCAAGCCAGCCAAAATCAGCCACGTTCTCTGCCTTGATGAGAAAAGATTATGTGGCAAGGGCCAAACATGCCGTGGTGCGAGGCTTCGCCCACAAACAAGGGCGGGGGGGAGGGGTCACACGGAAAATGCGATGTTCGGATCCTGGAGTAACAAGAGGGCCTCCTGGCAAGTGCCCAACTCTCGATCCACAAAGCAGCGAAACTGCTCCCGAAAAGAAAGGCGACCCGTCTGAAGGATTCAAACCGGAGAATCGCGTAGGGTTCCACCACCCAAAGCGGGGTCCGAGATTTGAACCCACCACAAAGATCCTCCATGCCATACCAAGTGTGCAATGACCGCCAACCTGTCCCGGGCGGACTCTCGCAATACTGGCAAAAACACTGAAGGAACCTAAACAAAAAGGGTCCCCCAAGCACGATTCCTCCAAAACAAAGGCTGTTTTTGGGGTTCCATATTACCAGATCCAAAAGAGAGCAATTCTCTGTAAGTGGAGGATCCTGAGTCTGTGAATCACAGTGGACCTTCCCACCCCTGCCATAATTCATAACCCTCAACCCTGGCCGGCCTGACCGTTTTCTTGTGCCTAAATGGTTGTATCCTTTGTGGTATTCCTTCCGAACCCCATCCATTTCCGTGGCTTTTCTGGGGCCACGCCGATGTGCCAGCGTGGGGTTTGGTGTTTCGACTCTGGTTTCCCTCCGGGCGATTGAAAATGCCTGGCGTCCACGTGGTTTCCTGCTAAAACCAACCAACCAGTGGGTACACCACAAACTAACACGGTACCTGATGAAAGGGAAATGGTCTGGCAGGACCCCCCCTGGCAGGTTCCATGTTCATTGTAGGGAGGGTTCCCTCAAAAACAGACGCCCCAAGCGGCGTTTGTTCACCCTGGCCCTTCTGATGCCAAGCCCGGACCGGGGTTCCACTGCGCGCGCCTCAGCGGCACCGGCGCGGCCCAGGCAGCGCTCAGCGCACAGAACGCCCTGGCTGGAAACATGGGCTTTCTCTCCCACCCGTAGTCCTCTGTGGGTCAAAATTAAACCAGGAATTGGACCGCAAATATTCACTATGGTTCCCTTTTGGGGTTACCCACAGCTATCTTCTGGATCATGAGCCAAACAAAAGGTTTGATCGAACTAAAACTTGTTCGAATGAAACTTGATTGGCCTTGTTAGTCGCCAGTAGGCCCTCTTAGGATTGGGGAGGCCCTGTTGGTCGGCCCTCGGCAACCATAGCATTGCCCAACGCACTTAGGTATTATCTAAATGTTGCATTTACTAGGGAGTCTGTCTTTGGGGAACCCCCAAACTGGTGCTGTTTGCTTTTGGTTTCCCTTTAAACGCCAAAAACGGGTACCCTCACAAAAAAAGAAGAAGAAGAAAAACACACACAACAGTCCCCTTAAAATCTTGGATCTTGAATCCGGGATCTGAATAGTGCATTCAAATTAAGTACTTTGTAACTTTTTGTGATCAAGGATATTGCTGTGAAACTGGGGTTAGTCTATGGGTAACAAGGTTACACTGAGCACAGCTTGCGCTATTCAATGCGCTTACTTGGTGGCTATTGCCCCTACTGCAAAGTCAATAGTGGCAAACATAAGCATGTCCCAAAAGGCATCCAAGCTCAGATGTTCAAACCACTTCGTACGTAGTCTATAACCATGGTTATTCCTGGGGTGGCTGGCGCTAGTCCCTTGCAACATAGTTACAACCTACTTACATTATTGTGAAAGTAGATGGCAAAGCTAGTCCCCTTCTTGTAACACAGTTCCAACCTACTTACATCATGGTGAAAGTAGATTACAAATTACAAATCCCTTTATGTCTGGAAGCAAAGGGGGTGAACAAACAAACATGGAAGAATTGTGCCACCTACTTTTCTGACTTTGTGTATATAAGGCACACGTCTGGAACAAAAATGACTCTACGCCATTAGAAAAGATATTCATGTGTTCCACAGCGAAATCCGGCAGCCAGGAAACCCTGACAAGTCTTCTTCTGGATGCATCCCCCTACGCACTGGTCACAGGAAAAGGTTCACTCCAAAAGTCCCTGGCGAAGACTTCTGGGTAGAAGCCTCCTGTCCGGAGGGGAGCTCAAAAAGGGAACCGGACCATTTTAGGGTAACGATCTTTTTGAGAAACAGCCAAACGGCGCCATCCCGATCTCCCGATCTCCGCGCCGCATGGTGAGAGAACCACCGCAACATGCGCCCGGTCGCGGTGATGGCACCCTCCAGAACAGGGTTCAAAGGATTATGTTGACCCCGGATCTAAGTAGAGCCCATCCTATTAGGGTGTGTCTCCACAAGCGGTCTGAATCCCCTCCAACTAATCAACCAGGCGATTATTAATCTGGGGCCAACATGTCATCTCAAAACCACCTGCTGTGCAAGAGGGGTCCTCGAAATCAGCTTGATATCAGCTGGAAAAGGTTCTCTTTTCGGGGGGGCCAAATGCATCCGTTGAGGGGTCCTCCGAAAATCAACACAAAGGCCTTAGAAATTGCAGTTTAAGTGCGGCTAAAACCTCCGGATAGTTCCAACATCCTATGAGAATCACTCAGTTTCCCAATGGTTGCCCATCATTTCATTGTTTCCTAGTGAGGAATCAACTAAAACCGCCAACACAAGTTGTTTCTTGGTTCAAACGTTAATTCCATAGGTTCTGTCCGGGCACGGCGCTGAAGAGGCTCAACTTGCCCAACGGCTCTGTAGCTAAGACGTAAAGACTACATCCAAAAACCACCCGCTTTACAAGCGCATTCTCTAATCAGCTGGTAGAAGCACCGTGGATGGACGAAACCCTACACCAGTTAGGATCGATGGTTTACTAACTATTTTGTTTATAGAGCCTCATGTATCCCAAGTGGTGCGTTTTCTAGATTTCGCTCAGCCACAGTAGACGTGACTTCGCAACTGGCTGAAATGTACCATGTGCAAACTAACTCCGCGCTTCCTTTGAGCCACGATCTGAAAATGCAGGGCACGGGCGCTCGAGCGCTGCAGCGCGTCGCTGGGATCGGCTTCTTGCTGCCGCTGAAGGGGCTCAGCCAAAATGTCTTCACTTTTCGGTTTTTTTGGTTGGGTCTGGAAAACCAAATGTTTTGTCAGCAAGTGCAAATGGACACGTCGCACCAGTTGGGGAGGATGAAACCGTCTGAGATGGGCCGCAACTTGTCCATCCACAGTCTTTCCGGCAGACTGCACCATGGACCTCTTGTTTTGTGTGACATGTCCTATTCGTAGGATGGCTTTGTTCCAGGGTCCTGAGTCTATTTAAGGACCCCACCAGGCACATTGAAGGTCAAGAAGTCCCCAAAGTCCCCCAAGCAAAAGACATGGGGATTGGCCTTCACATAGGCTGACCATCGGGGGGAAACCACTAAAACGATGCTGTCCCACGCCACCCATGGTCAAAGCTTGGAGCCATAGCCAACCCGCAAAGGGAGCCGTTTTCCCCAATGGCAGCCTAGTGAGCTTCGGCGCTGGGTTTGGGGTAAAGCAACCGCGGACAAGCCACAAAAAGCCGGGCAAACGCCACGTTGTCGCCGCAAAAGCTACGGAAGCCATACAAGCCAAACCAAAACATGCATGTTTCCTAACTTTCACCAAGTCGCCCTAGAGAAAACTACCCAAAATGGGGTGGCGTCGCCATCATCTGGGGAAAAGAGTCAGCCCGAAACCGATCGCAGAGTTCAGCTTCTTTGGGGCCCAAGCCTGCTCCGCCTCGGAGCCCTCCTCGGCGACCTGAAGGGCCAGGTATCAAACACTATCTTGCTGCCCAGGGAAGAAGGAATCACCCCAATAAACCATCCGTGCCCTATGGTTTCCTAGGGGATTCACCATTCCCTCATTCACTGAGCACCAGCAAGTTATACCCTACAAACCATACCCTGCAAAGGTTTCCTTTAGTTTAAGGGGATTCCACATCCGGTTCAGTCCCTCATTCCCTACTGAACACCCGTAAATTATTCTTTGGTCATTCGGCATCCTCGCATGGCCCCGCTTCGGGAGTATCCCAAGGGCAGAAGCGCGGTGTCCATGCCATGGTTTCCGCCTAACGCATCTATGCGCGGGCTATGTACTTGGTTGCCATTCAAGGAAAAATCAAAGCCCCCCCACCCCGCAAGGCTCTTGGAGTCTTGTTGGCAGCTCTGAATGCCTACCCTTGGTACCTTGCAAAGGGTACCTTTTCGTCCAGGTTTCCTCCCACAAATGCCTGTGATTCATCTAAGCGCATTCTCTTCACACATCATTCGCTTCAGAAACCACACATTTGTCAATCCTCGGAGCAATGGAGTAGGTACGGCTAGAATTCAGGTTTGTCTCCAAACCAGGGACTGTTTGAAGATTGGTTTCGGTGTCCTTTGCCCTGAAGTGGGAACAAACAAGCTCCTCATTCCCGGTACTTTGCAACCAAATTGAGCCTTGATCATAAGAGAACACTGCGGTATGTATGTAGACCTGATGCAGATCGTTGAGACCGTGCCACAATGTGTGCTTCAAGACGTGTTGAAAACTTGCTAACACATGTTCGAGCGAGCTTCCCCAAATCAAAGGCTGATCAGGTTCTGGTGGTTTCCATTGAAACAATAAAGCCACTTTTTGGAGCTTCCCTTTAAATAGAGATGGCTCGGAAAGGCTGCAAAAAATAACCGGTTGTTGGTGGTTTTGGGAAATCAAAGAGAAAGCCACAAATTGTGGGGGCCATCATGTCCTTAAAAATATCCTGGCGGCTCCTGAGCTCCCTCTCTAAGGGCCAATTTGGAGACTTTCAGCCTACTCGTTTCCGCGCGAGCTGTCTCACCCCACTCGCGGCGGAGACCCGCAGCTTCAGCGCCTGCTCCTGGAGTTGGCTGAGCAGCTTCAGCGCGCGGCCCTCGGATCTTTGGGAGCGCGCGGCAGGGCGCGCGTTGGAAGGAATCCCCAACCACTTTTTCTAGCCCTTCAACTGGTGCTTTGCAAAACCCCCCCCCCAAAAAAAAAAAAGGATCGGTTTTTGGCAGCCCCCTAGTCCAGAAAACTTGAAAACAACTGAACACATGCCAACAGCAGGGACGCCATGTATCCCATCCAGCTCCAGCGGAATAGCAAGGACCAAAAATCCCATGCCGTGCTGAGTGGGTCTTCTTTCTGATCAGAACAGCAGGTGGAAAATGGCAAGCCCGAGTGCGTTGAGATCCAGCAAGGACCAGAAACCGCTTCTGCAGCAGATGGGCGGAGCCCCTGCAACCCAGACCTTGGCCCAAATCTGTACACCAACAATCAGATGTTCTGATTCTTCAGATGGAAAATAGTTTTGGAGACCCCAACCCAAAGAGGCCCCAAGGAAAAAACAAAAACGTGCAGCGCTCTCTGCTTTCTTCAGATTTTCCCTGAACAAATCCAGTGGAATTCTGCCAGCCCTTGAGGTTTGGCCATGAGTTGCCAACGGAACGCCTTGAGCCTGCCCCTCAAGGACCCAGCAACAAACGGCGATCACCTGGAGCCAGGAAAGATGAGAATGCAACAGGAGAAAACGCCTCTGGGCAAGTGAGAATTGTGGATTCCTTTATGTTCCAAAACAACCGCTTTAGGGGGCCCGATTTAAAGAACCACCCGCCTCTGACTAAAGTAGCCCAAACCAAATTCCGTTGGTCTACGTTGGCCCATTTAGCTCCCCTCTGATGCTTTTGGATCTTTACAAAATGTGCTACTGCAGGCCTTGACAAACAACAGGGGGCGCCAATCACAAGTCAAAACAACCCACCTAATTTAAAACCAGATCAATAACTCTGGTTGATGAGAGGAAGGTGTCCGATGCTATTCGGCACTCCGGCCTTGGGACACAATAGCCCAGGTGGCATCCCCAACATCCCCATCCCCAACAGCAATCCCGGCACCCTTCCGGAAGCCGAACCCGAACTACCCGGAGCCTGCCTGGTTCAGCTGGGTACTAAAATTGTCTAAACCCAAAAAGTTTGAAGTCCAGGATCTATGTTTGGGTTCCCCTTTGAAAACAGAACGCGCACTGTGGGTGCTCGCAATCCAATTCGCACCACTTTCAAACCATGGTTGCATCCATTGTTTGTTGGTTTTATCGGGGAATCGAATCAGAAACCTGGGTTTCTGAACAGCGTGGTGCGACAACTGAATTTGGTCCATCCACAAATGAGAAAAACAAACAAAACGCACCCCCGCATGAAAATATGTTCCGTCAAGTGCGCCAGGCGAACAGCCGAACCGAACCGCGGAACGCCGCGCGAGAGGTGAACACCTTATTTGCTGAGGTATTGGCTGCCCCCGGCCGTTGCATCCGCTGCTCTGGCCCCATCCAATGACAACATGTCCAATTATTGTGCATATTTCGTGAGTCTCAAAGTGTGAAACACAAATCAAGATCAAAAACCACGTGTCGTTTAATTCTGGCACATATTTAGTGAGCCCCAAACATGTTTGCAAGCATCCAAAGAGACTCGATCCAGCGTGCCGCAAAGCGGCATGAGCTAGTGACTTGCAAAATGCCACACCAAGGTCTCTAGGCGAGGAGTTTGCCTTGCAAACCATCCAAATAGAGTTGATCTGGAGGTGACCTACAAAGCCGAAAATATTTAAACCCCGGCCCCGGGAACATGCATCAGCCAGTTTGTTGCCCAAGCACGAAAGGTCTGGGAACACAAAAAATGACACGTTCAGGTGTTGCTTCCTATAAAAAGGCCTACCATATCAAGTCGTGTTGAAATCGGAGACCTCAGAACTGCCGCGCGTCTCACAAGCTCACTATAGCAATCGTCACCCGCACGAGCAACGCCAGCGCACCTCACGGGCAATCGTCGACGTCTTTGCAAGGAATGCAATCCAAAAGAAGCTACCCAGACCGCCTACATCAGCCACCAGCGGAGTCAAAAGACTGGGCATCAAAACTTTCTAAAAGCATGGTTCACGGAAATTACTAAGAACCTTGTTCGCTCAAGTCTGCCAATTTAGCAGCCACGCAGAAACTGGTTGGCAGTGACTTTTTCCGCAGGCCTTACAAAGCAGCTTGCGGGTTCACGGTGCGTATGCGCTGCAAAAAAAGGCTCCGCATCTCATAGTCCACCCGCTGCTCGCGGACAAGGGCGAGGAGCAATTCCTCGTCGCGCTCGGCCTGGCACCAAGCACCGCTCCCGTGGATCCGACCGGGGTTCCTTCTGCAATGGGGCGCTCCCCTACCAATCAACCAACAGTTTTCTTGGTCCTGGGTGCCCATTCAACAAGCGTCACCAAACGGTTCATCATAACCATCATCATCGCCACCACCACCATCATCACGATGATTTACCATCTTTCCAAGAAGAAGTGCATGTTTAGAGACTATCCGACACGTACTCTTCCATGATTGTTGGAAAAAGGGCGCCATTCGACACACTCAAGGACCCCGTCACAAAACAAGATCTTTAGTAGTGGTTGCAGAACATTTGCATGGCCGTACGACTCAGCCAACGGAGAAGTATGGGGTGTGACTGGCCTCAATGTGCTGTCAGCTCAAACCTAAGGAACCGGATGGCAGGGGAGGGATCAAAAAAACTTTTTAGGCATCAAAAAAAATATTCCTGAAGATCAAAGAAAACTTATTAGGGGTCAAAAAAACCTATTCTCTTAGATGTCCTATTAAAATGAAAACTCGGAGGATCAAAAAACAACTTGTTAGGGATTAAAAAAACTTCTTCATTTCGTGGCACGCGCAGTACTTTCGCAAGGTCAGGCACAACAAAGGGTGATGATGATCGAAGAAGTGGTGATTCAGGGGGGGTTCCTTCCTTGCTTCCTTCCTTCCTTCCTTCCTTCCATCCTCCCTCCCTCACTCCCTCCCTCCCTCCCTCCCTGCCTGCCTGCCTGCCTGCCTGCCTCCCTCCCTCCCTCCCTTCCTTCCTTCCTTCCTTCCTTCCTTCCTTCCTTTCTTCTCCCCATAGGAATGAGAAGAAGTGTTTTTTGATCCCTAATAAGTTTTGTTTGATCCCCAATAAGGTTTTTTGATGCCTATCCCCCGGATGGCTGGGAACCACGCCCGCCGCCTCCCAAGCTGTTGCCGTCTTCGGCCGCTCGCCCACGGATCCCGCGGGATCCGGCTTTGGGGCCTTCGCCCACCAAGTGCCAAGGCCCAGCAGGGTGCCAGACTTCCAGCAGGCCGCGGTGCCCGTGGCGGCTGCGCTCCTGTCCAAATCTGTGTGTGTGTATGCAAAATAAACTCATACATATATGTATATGTACATATGTCTGTGAAACTTTATGCACACATATGTCTGTACGTGCGTCTAAATATGTATGTGTGGAAAGGTTGTGGTACATATGTATTGCATTGTGGTTGTTTAGACTGTTGTCTGCCCTGTGTTTGGTAGCGGCTGTCTTAAATCCTCGCACTCCTCCTGGGCTTTTTGTCGGGGAACTTGCAAGTTACTCGAAACTACGAGTAGGGAGCCAGGGAACCAGGGAGAAAACGAGAGTGAACGCAGTGAATCCAGTCTTTCACTGAGCCCCCCTGAGCAAAAGATGGTTAGACCCGTTTTGTAGGCTGAATGGAAAAGTCATTTGTGTCGGAAAGTTCTAAGGGGCGATTCGGTCACACCAATTGACCAGCCATGAGAAGTGCTGTTGGACTGAGGCGCTGGGCCCACGCGAACCAAGCGCCAGCGGTCACTGAGGGGAAGGTGGACTGGATGGTTGCAGCCAGAGAGCCTTCAACTGGCAAAGCAGCCAACAACGCTCTGTTATGTTGTGCTATGCTCTACACTTAAAAACAAAAAATGAAGCACGGGCGAAGCATTGTCCTACACAAAGATAGAATGCCTTGAAAACCAACCCCGAAAAACCTGCCACAAGCGGTGAAGCAGCCCTTGACGACGCCGGTTGCGGTGAAGCCGAGCACTTTCAATCCGATGACCGGGCCCGCGGTGACCAGAAATGCCACCGTGGCGCTGATGAAAAGCCATCGCGACACCCCGGGCGTTTCGTACAGCTCCTTCAGCTGAGCAAGCCGTAGCTGAGCCTCGTTGCAGAAAATCATTGCCCAGCGGTTTTACCATTTAAGTCACCCTAAGTGGTAGACTAAAGGGAGGTTCTGACTTAAGAAACCCCCGTTGCCCTTCAGGACTTGGTCAGGGCGGAAAACCACGCGGCTCACGCCCCAGTGGATCGGCAAACAACAATCTGCAAACCTAGGCCTAGGGCTCGAAATTTCAAGGTGAGCCCTGGATCATTTCAATGGCTCCCAGGCCAACTACCCCAAACCGCAACCGGCGGTTTGCTGGGACGAGCCTCTGACGCCAAATGGGATTGTTAACAATACGCATGGCTTTCGCCGTTCGCCTTTTGGCCCGCAAAAAAGGGCACTGTGGGCTGCATCCGCACATGACTGTGCCCTGTTTTAGCTGGGAGCTGCAAAAGCAGCGCCGATGGGGTGATGACGCGAAGGTTGGGCTTGGAAAACAGCACCCCGCCATTTCCAGGAACAACTATGAGCTAAGAAGCCACTTGAGGCAATTCAATTAGTCAAAGGCCTTGTTTTCGGGCATTTCGTTTTGGAACAGCGGGACACGTTTCTCTTTTTCGGAAACCTTCTGATACCCAGGCCGCCCATTTTGACTGGGTGGTTGCCTCAGCCGATTGCTGCCAGTGAGCCTCATCGCTGACCGTCTCCACAGCCCAGGCGATTGTTGACTTGTTCTTGAGCTTCTTTAGCGCCAGTTGCCGGACTTCATCGTTGACCACCCCCAGCTTCACAGCCTCTCGTACCAGCCGCTCGTCCCCCGTCATGGCGCTGCACGCCACTACCCTAGGCCGCCCATCAAACCCCCCCCCCCTCCTCGCGGCGCTTTCGCGGCGCATTCGCCGGGGGGAGGAAGGGCGTCCGGGGGTGGGCAGGGCACCGGCCGCCGCAAGGGCGCTGGACTTCATTGCAAGGCAAGCAAGCCGCCTGGACCTCGTAGCCATGGCCAAATGGCTGAAACAGGAAAAGTGATTCGAGGTATGGGCGATTATACCCTCCAAACCGCCGCTCTTTGGGCAGGAAAGTGCTGGCGGATTTCAAATGGTGAGGCTCCAGCAATGGACCTGATGGCGTGTACCCGGGGGCGTTGTGTTCAAAGGGTCCTGCCGGAAATGACGCGAACTAAGTATGCCAAATCCACTCGCAACCATGGGTGTTCTGGTTCTTCCAGCATGTTTTGGCAGGCTTCCATGAGTCCAGTGCCCCGTGTCCTTGCTTTACACTTGGTTCCCTGAGATGTCCAGTTTCTACCAGAGCGTGCCCTCTTCCACTCGAAGAGTAAAGGGCAAGAACAGGAATCCACTTTGGTGCCCCAAAGCAAGTGGTATTCTTTGAAACTTTGGTTCCCCTTTACACTTTAAACCAACCTTCAACAGGGCACGCTCAGAAACACACGCTCACCCAACAAGGGCATCCCACATCCAAACTGGTCCAAGCAAGGGTACGTGAGGCTCGATGCTTTGACGACGACAACGACTATGGCTACCGCTACCACAACCACCACCACCACCACCACCACCACCACTACTACTACGACTACTACGACTACTACTGCTACTACTGCTACTACTGCTACTACTGCTACTGCTACCAGCTGGCTCCAGCGGAGTCTTCGGGTGCCCGGCCGGAGCTTCCTGCACCACATCCGCGCTGACCTCCGAGTCGACTATCACGGAACCACCCCCGCTTGCGGGATTCCAGGAACCTTCTTTGTGCCAAACCTCTCCTTTCCAGTTGAAACCCAAACAGCAAGTTCCAAAAATAGACCCACATAACCCACCCAGCCACTTTGGGGGCTTGACTTTTGGGACACCCCCAGTAACCAGCTTCTTGGGGGAGTCATGGGCAGAACTGGTGCCCAAGGGTTCCTCCAGGGTAAATACCCACGTCAGGTAGGCCGGCAGCCATGGTAACAAGACAAACCGCGCTGCGCGTAGGGCAAGTGCGATTTGATGCTGTAGCTTAAACCCTTGGCGGGGCATGGTTATAACTACTTAATAACTTGCTGAGGTCGTTTGAACCTCCAAGTAGCTCATTCTGCTCGTTGGTTTCGGGCACAATGGCTAGCCAGACCTACTTAACTGCCCCTCCATGAGAACCTTGCCACCCCTTCATAGGTCAGCTGTTCGCCTGCGCCGCTCGTTTGCTTGCTTTGTGGTAAAGTAGAAAACCCCTGTGTATGTGCTCGTGCCCAAAAACCAGCCAGCGAAAACCTGAGGCCTGCGCAAAACAGGCGGCGACCAGGTGCAGCAAGATCTTCATTGCATCGCCTCACGGCTCCCGCGAGAAGGGGGAGGTGACAAGCCCGGTGAACGCGTGCATGCAATCTGGGTGTGCGCTTTCGAGGGTACCCTTTTGCGGTTGGCTAAAAGGGAAACCCAAGGGAAACCCTATTGTTTAGTTTTCCCGTTTTGGCACACACTACACGCCCATCTATAAGCCCAAGGCACCTTGGGCCGAGGGTGCCTTCGCGTTCCAACCAGCCTTCCCCAAATCAAACCCTGAGAATTGTGCCAGCTGGCTTCGGTAATGGCAGCCCAAGGAAAAACCAGGGAACAAATCCAGACCTCAAGGGGCTTTCGGGACCCCAGAAAGGTCCTGGGAAGAAAGGGACGCTCTGATTGTTGGCCGTTGGTTTTAAAGGAAAATCCCTCCAACAACAAGGGCAAAAGGAAGCAACCCATTGGAGGTCTGGGGGGGAATCAGGCAGTTTGTGAGAAGACCGTGGGATCCTCGAAAAATCGGGGCTTCCAAATCGGGACCCACCAGCCACTCGCCGCGCAAGGCGCCTGTGGCGCGCAGAAGGCGCCGCAGACTGGACTGGACAACCCACGAGCCAAGAAAGAGGGCCGAAAGGCGCGGCAAAAATGGTGGCCCCTACAACGGTTGGTCCTCTTTTGCCTTCCCTTCAAACACCAAATATAGCAAACAACAAAGAAACAAGCTTTTTCCCCATCCCATTTTGAGAAAGCGTAGTTTGCTTCAGCGAAACACCGACGAAACCCCCCTGTTTCTTGGGAGGGGGTTGTGGGTTCCAGCACTAAACGTCTCAACTCGCGTCGTTGACCCTCTGGACGAGGAATCCAATGGAAACAAATGCAGTGGAAGATAGGCGGGGAGCTTTCGGTGCCGTACCAAGATTACTCACACAAAAGGGAGGAAATCGAACAGACCACCTGGGAGTTTGCCCGAATTTCCTTTGGGGGTTGCTCAAGCTTCCTGTGGGTGAGCATGTTCTGCGTGTGGAATCCCTCTACCTCTTCTGGAGGGCTCCTTACCAGGGCATTGGGAGAGCCATACGGCTCGTATGTCTCCCAGGCCAAGCTGACCTGCAAGCGGTGGTGTCTAAACCTACAGCCGGAAAACCGGCCTTTCCCAACAAGTCACAAGTCAAACCAAGGAGAAAGGGAAACCCTTGTGGATGAATAGGCTTACTCACACACACACATATATATATATATATATGTATATATATATATATATATATGAGAGTGCTTGTGTGTGGGTAAGTTGTCATATCTACACATATAAGTTACAAGTATCTATTTGTATGTCGGCCATGTGTACCTCTATGTAAACATGTGTTGTTTTCTACAGCCCCGCGCCCCAAACCAAGCACACGGGCGACCGTCCGAAGGGCAACCCCGCGCTCCCAGTTCCTTTTTCCAGCTCAGTCCACCGCCACCCACTCGATGGGCTTCGGATCCTGAGCACCCCAGCAAGGTCTGGCCAACCGAGAACGACCCCCAAAGGCCGGACGTGGCAAGTTAGTCCCCAAACGTGTCTAAAGCTGGACCAAAAAGCAAAAACAACTTGGCTTTTTGGCGACCTGGCATTACCTGGCAGGGGCTTACCTGGGGATGTATTGTTGTTGAGGGTACTTGGATGTTCGATTCGCCAACTTAGCACGTGGTTAGCCAAACCACTAGCATGGTTCATTCCACTGAACGGGGGACTGGGCAATAACCGAACGATTACCAACAACTTACTAACTTGGCGAATCGAACACCCAAGCAAGGGGCTACTTGCGTTTCTGAAAAGCAACGGATCACCAAAAAGCAAACCCACCCCCAACTGATTTGAGGCTGATCAGCCCAAACAAAAACGACATGGCCTTGTTGCAAAAGGCCTTCACTCAGCTTCCGCCTCATTGGTGGTTTGGATTGGTGGTTTGGGGAATTGAACCCCTGGTTCTTCTAGAGGATAGATGCGGAATCACTCCCTAACCAGCCACCACAAACCACCAGCTGATTCACAAACTGGAGAGGCCTTCACTTGTTTGAACACGTTGGACAAAAAACAATTGCTTAAACAAACTAGTTGGGGCGGTTCTGCGAAATCGGTGCCCTAAACTGGCTGATGTCCGTTTGGTGTCCCAAGAAATTCCAACCAAAAGGGGTCAACCAGTTTGAGAAACTCCCTTATGTTTACCGATTCGCCGATTCCTACCTTGAAAATAGGAGAACCACCTAAATGATATCCACCAAAGGGTCCCCAAAATATCATACTCGAATTTCCCCGGGCTGAATTCCGCCGCGCCGCCGCAACTTTGCCGTTTCGTCCGTCTCCGGCGTCGGGAGCCGGCTGCTCGGGAGACCGGAGGCCGGGCGTGCGCCGGCGCAGGAAGTAGAGCAGCGCCTGACGGATTCGGGTGAGCGGAGCAGGTGGGCTTGTCCGAAACTCTCCAACCCAAATATGGGCTTGCAGAACACTGAATCTTGTTGCAACCCCCTCATGAACAGAACCAAAATCACAAAACAAAAACCAGAAACTGCCAGCGAAGCTTGTCCCAAAGGAACCGGAGCAACTCACTTCCGATCGAGTGGATTCGCCTCACAGCTTGCCAAAGAAGCTGCAAATTTCGGGTTTCGACTGGATCCGGATCCAGAAACACCTGTGCCAACAAGGTAGAACCCTGATGAATGACCGCCCCGTGATTATTGCAGCTGCTTGCGGAGGGACAGTGTTGCCCCAAAGACCCCTCAGGGAAGCAAAGAAAGCCAAAACTGCCTCACATCCTCACTTCCTGAGTGGATTGGCCAAAACAAGTCCAAGCTTTTTGGTTTCCACTGGGGTGGTCTTTCCCAAAAAAGTGTCAAGTCCATGAACCCGGGGAGCGAGCTTCAGGCAACATCCTTCCATGATTCGTGAAGTGTTTTGCAAGGCATACTGTTTCAGCCTCTGACACAACCTCAAACTTCCATTGGCGTTCCCTGGAAAGATGTATAAGTGATTGATTCCTTTAAGACCAACAAGGGAAAATATAAAAGGGTTCTGAGGCAAATGGAAGCAACACCTTCTTCCACTCTTGGGCTTTGGTCATCTCAAGGCTCAAAGCAAGCCTGATTCCCCCCACAGCTCCAGCGGCCATGGGAAGTCAGTTCGGCAGCTGAAAGTTCGTCCCCGCCGAGCAAAGGGATAGGAAGCAACCCACTGGAGGCATCTCCCCCAACCGGTGCCTCCCGACAATACGTCACTTTCAAAGAGATGCGAGTCTCTCAACATGGTGGACCCCCTTATGGGGCCCTGATTTCATGCGCCCAGATTCCGGGTATCACGCAGATTGCGAAACCCCAACTGGCTGCATTTCAAATGATTTCCCCTCAGGTTGATCAATTTCCTGGCAACGTCTGCCACTTTTGCAGCTCTCAACAAACAGATAACCTGAGGTACCCAGGGCTCCGTCAGCTGACGTCCCCAAAAACTGCACACGGCTTACGCAGAGCGAGGGCTGAAGACGCGCCTCGCAGCTCTCGCCGGCGTTCTGCAGCTCCTGGATCAAATCGTCCGGGGGCCGGTCGTTGGCGTACAGGGGCTGCATCTTCTGCCAGTGCTCCTCAAGGGTGGCACGTTGGCGGAGACTGTTTGGTCTCAATATTGTTTATACCCTGGCTGAACAACATGGTTAAACAGAGATTGGCAAAAAAAAGCCAGGGGGTTGGTTGCAACAAATCTAAAACACGTAGGATCTAAACCCCCAGGCAAGAATCTGGGTACTCAAGTTCACCACGTTAAAATAGGGGAAGCGCACTATGAAAGGAACCTTCGCGGATGCCAAGGCCCCAAACCACCGCACGACAAATTTTACGAGGAGCATCTGACTCGTGGGACTGCTTTGTGTCGAACCAATCGCAAGCTCGAAAGCAACTCGATACATGGCTGTTTTGGGTGCAAGGTAGATCTCTCTCTCTCTACTAATCTTGCCAGCTAGGCTCCTCGCACGTCAGCCGTTTTGGATTTGAAGTTTTGCCCTGAATGAATGTTGCCTGAAGAAGGCGCGGTGAGTTTCATTGCTTTCAATGTCTCAAAGCATCCAGCTTCAACCAAAATGCTTCAGAGCTCGGGTGCCCAAGAGGCAATCTTCTCCCTGACCATGGGGCTGGCCCCCGCCACGAGCCCCGCGCCCCTACAATACTGTACAGTGGATGGATGAAATCCATTTCGCACCACTTTGAAACCATGAGAAACCATTGTTTGTTGGCATTTGCAGGGGAGTCGCATCATTTCTGGGTTTCTTAGGTGGTGCGAAATGGATTTCGTCCATCCAGAATCCTTGAGTATGGAGTGCAGGTGTCAGGAACAAACGTGGATTCCTTCAAACTGCTGTTAAAAGAAGTACCCTTCCTTCCTTCAAACTTCCGTCGAGTCAACTTCAAATATCCGCAAACAGTTCAAAGGAGTCCTTCAAATTGGGCGAACCTCCAAGCAAATCGTCGCGGGCGCGGCCTATCAGAGTCAACCCACATTGTGCTTGTACTAATCGAATGGGTCTATGACTTTGGGGTATTGTTTGATGGTTTTAAAGGGACGCCGAAAGGAAAGCCGATGCCTTTCCTGGCAGGTCCAAAAAAATACAAGACACACCCCAAATTGCTTCTTGCAGGGTGTGCATACTCCGACTTCGAGACCATGTCCATTTCTCCGCTCTCCATGGAAACAGGTCATTCAAGTACCGCCAAGAACTGTGTTCCGGCGATTCCGGGCCATCAAATGGCGACTCCGACCAAACGCGCTGTGCTCAACATGCTCAAGCACGCTTGCTTGGCTGCAGTTGGAAAGCTGCACAAAATTGCACAAACTTCCCCTTCACCGCGACAAAAATGGGAACCACACCATGTCCGTTTGGAAATGGCAAATTCTCATTGCAATGAAAGGTGCTGTGGATGAACAAAATCCGGCACCACTTTGAAACCATGGTTGAAACCATTGTGGGTGTTGCTTTTTGTTTTTTTAAACGGGAGAATCGTCAGAAGTTTCTTGGGTGGCGCGAAATGGATTTCGCAACCATCCACAGTATTCCCACAAAACATTCCAACCCCTTGGCTCAACGGGCGCCCCGCCCGACTGCCTGGAAATGCCAAGTCAGTACCTCTGAGATCTGTCCACTGGTCGTGTGTTCTGCAAACCTCCAGCCCATACTGGACCATTCTTCCCGAATCGCTGCAGCTTTCTGCCACACTTGCTCTTCAAAAGCTGGAAGTGGTCCAAGTGAACCACAATCTTTTCTCACGGATCTCGTCAGTTCAATCAAGGCAAGCAGGCTGCCCCGGAATTCTCTGGCTCCTCTTTCCATCTGCTCTTTGATCACATTCCGTACCGGCACCAAGTCCCAATGGAGGTCAGCATAATAATATGCAATTTTGCCACGTGCATCTTGGTGGCACAACTCTTGAAGGCTCAATCTTCCAGCAAGGAATGCGCAAAGCTTTACTGTCGGCTGGTCGCCAGGGCTTAGGTCTGGTAGGTCTGCGAATGGTGCCATGAAGGACTGCAGGAGGTTTTCATTCCACGGGCCCCAGTGGCCAGCCCAACACCATCTTGGAAGGCCCTTGTCGATCAGTGCCATGGCCAGATCTGCCCCAAGACCGTCTCGGAGTTGTCCCACAAGTTGCCAGACATCGCGCTTCACCTTCTCTCTGCCCAGCCTATCACAGGATGTTTGCACTGTTCGAACATCCATTTTCTGCTTGACAAGTTCGATGGTCATCGAAGTGAATGTGGTGTGAAGAAAACTCACCACATCGTCCAAGGCATCATATGACCAATGCCTGAAGGAAGTGGGAGCCCCGGCACACAGCAAGCCTTCTGCTTTTTCAAGCGCAAGAAGAAGCGAAAAACAGCGATAAAGAAGCTCCTTTCCGAACGGGCTTTCCGCATCATCGACTACCTCAGATGGAAGACTCAGTATGGTAGAGGTCCAGCTGGCGACGAGATGTTTGCAAAAGGCTTGGCCTCTTTGGTTCCAAATCTCCAAGACATAGGGAATCATGAGTTTTGGGTCTAGCAAGTGGCACACGTCTTCGTAACAGAACATGAGGTCCTCACCAGGGGGTAGTTCTGCCAAAGCACTCGACATCGCGTCCACAACCACATACTGAAGGCAAGCTTGCGCCACCCACTCCCAGTTGACCTGGTCCCTGTCATCCACCTCCACTGATGTCTCCCTGTGAATTAGCCGCAGCCATAGAATCACGAAGGGCATTCCAAAAGAACCCAAGTCTTTTGTAGCCTCATGTTTGGCAAGACATCGCTTCAAGTCTCTATTGCGTTCGATTTGTTTTGCCTCTTTCGGTGTGAGAGACACCTCCAGCAACTCCCCGTTCAATCGAACGACCCGGAGGTAAGTTGTCATAGCGACTTGCACTGGAGCCTGATGCCATGGATCTGCCATTGCCAGATCTGAGGGCTCAGCTTTGGAGCTGGGGCAACGCCTAAAATGCTTGACACAAAGGGCGCAAATGTCCAGCGCGTGAGGTCACAACAATTTGCCAGGCACAATCACCCACCCTCGCACCAGGAGTCATTTCCCTCCGCAAAAATGCGGAGATGGCGTTAGACTGAGAGGTCCTTACACACAACGCACACATACACAAATACGTGTATATAGTTATCACACGCAGAGATGGACCGTAGAGGTCTAGGGAAGCCTTACGCTTGGATGCTCAAACCACTTCGCACGTAGCATCAATAATGCAACCATAATTAGCACTTACTTACAAACCGGGTTGAAAGTGCAGAACTTTGGGTATTCGATGCGTGACTCGCCAGCTAACGCTCCACGTGCCATCGGATCATGGCCGCAAGCCCAGGCTGCGTGTGTTGTGTGTTGTGTGTTGTGTGTTCTGTGTTGTGTGTCGTGTGTTACGTATTAAGTGTGGCATGTGCGCGCGCGCGTGCGCGCGTGCGTGCGTGCGTGCGCGCGCGCGCGTGCGTGCGTGCGTGCGAGAGTGCGTGGGAGCGTGGGTGCGTGGGTGCGTGTGTGTGCGTGTGTGCGTGTGTCTGTGTGTCTGTGTGTGTGTGTCTGTGTGTGCATGGGTGCGTGGGTGCGTGGGTGCGTGGGTGCGTGGGTGCGTGGTTGCGTGGGCGCGTGGGCGCGTGGGCGCGTGGGTGCGTGTGAGCGTGGGCGTGTGTGTGTGCGTGTGCGCGTGTGCGCGTGTGTGCGTGTGTGCGTGCGTGCGTGCGTGCGTGCGTGCGTGCATGCGTGCGTGCGTGCGTGCGTGCGTGGATGGCTGGGTGAGTGGGTGGGTGGGTGAACGCACGCACACGCACACGCACACGTGCACACGCGCACGCGCGCACACGCGCGCACACACGCACACACGCACACACGCGCACACACACACACACACGCACGCACGCACGCACGCACGCACGCACGCACGCACGCACGCACGCACCCACACACACACACACACCCACCCGTGTGTGTGTGTGTGTGTGTGTGTGTGACCCACCCGTGTGTGTGTGTGTGTGTGTGTGTGTGTGTGTGTGTGTGTGTGTGTGTGTGTGTGTGTGTGTGTGTGTGTGTGTGTGTGTGTGTGTGTGTGTGTGTGTGTGTGTGTGTGTGTGTGAGTGTGTGTGTGTGTGTGTGTGTGTGTGTGTGTGTGTGTGTGTGTGTGTGTGTGTGTGTGTGTGTGTGTGTGTGTGTGTGTGTGTGTGTGTGTGTGTGTGTGTGTGTGTGTGTGTGTGTGTGTGTGTGTGTGTGTGTGTGTGTGTGTGTGTGTGTGTGTGTGTGTGTGTGTGTGTGTGTGTGTGTGTGTGTGTGTGTGTGTGTGTGTGTGTGTGTGTGTGTGTGTGTGTGTGTGTGTGTGTGTGTGTGTGTGTCTGTGTGTGTCTGTGTGTGTCTGTGTGTGTCTGTGTGTGTCTGTGTGTGTCTGTGTGTGTCTGTGTGTGTCTGTGTGTGTCTGTGTGTGTCTGTGTGTGTCTGTGTGTGTCTGTGTGTCTGTGTGTGTCTGTGTGTGTCTGTGTGTGTCTGTGTGTGTCTGTGTGTGTCTGTGTGTGTCTGTGTGTGTCTGTGTGTGTCTGTGTGTGTCTGTGTGTGTCTGTGTGTGTCTGTGTGTGTCTGTGTGTGTCTGTGTGTGTCTGTGTGTGTCTGTGTGTGTCTGTGTGTGTCTGTGTGTGTCTGTGTGTCTGTGTGTCTGTGTGTCTGTGTGTCTGTGTGTCTGTGTGTCTGTGTGTCTGTGTGTCTGTGTGTCTGTGTGTCTGTGTGTGCGCCAG